TGTGTCTCTGTACAGAGTCTCCAGTAAGAGTCTGTAATCCAGCTATGCGTACATATGGCGTAGGTATTAGAGGAAGATCGACAAACATTCCCTGACCATCCTTCCCTCCTGTTTGTGTTCTGTTTACCCGGGTCAGTGTCCCTGGAAGAGACGGGGGTCAGTAGATCCGTCTCTGTGGAAAGGCAGGGTAGAGGTGGGACAGAGCAGGAGCTCTGCCTTGATCAGAAAGAGGGACAGACAGCAGGCAGGGCAGCAGCAGTCTTCAGGACAGGGTCAGCACAGACAGAGGGGCAGGAGAGGTATGTACCTCCAGTTGGAGAGCCAGTCAGTTAGGATAGGAAACCTTTATACTTATGTACATGTATGGCCTGTAAAAGCCATCTGCTTTAAACTTCTTCTTATTATGGAATTTGGACATTACCAGTCACAAAAAACAACTCCAAAAACATTTCCTGTCTTCAAAGTACTTGATGTGAGTCTCTAGTCTCTTTTGAGTTGGTGCTCCACAGCTTTGGGGTACAGCGACACGAGGCCCTGCACCCACAGAGTGGAGACGCGTAAGGTGGGGTCGCACGGTTAACCCGAGTCAGCTGAGCAAAGGTCAGGAGGGGAACGAATGGATCCGGGGGAGACCAGGCATGTGAAGCCTTGAATATAAGCAAAGGGATCTCGAAATCAGTTCAAAACCTGACAGGAAGCCGGTGCAGGGATTCCAGGACAGGAGTGGTGTGATCACTTGCACATGGCAAGGCTAAATGCCAGATTCTGCACATAATGCAAGTAAGTTTTAGAGAGCCCTGCAAGTGGCGTGTTGACACTCCTTGATAAGCCAGCGTGTCAGTCAATCAGTCTAGGTCCGGGTGTGAGGGACTCGGACATCGTGTGAATTTCAGCTGGTCACTGTTTCAGCCCTTGTGCACCGCAGGGTGGCAAAGCCTTTCAGACAGCAGGCTCAGATTTCCTTCTTCTCTGCCCTGTTCAGGACGGAGGAACCAGGGGCCGGAGGTGTGCCATTGAAGCTGACATGAAAATGAAGAAGTGAGAGTGGGCGGGGAGGAGAGAGAGGCGGAGGGGCGCCGGCGGGCCGTTGGAACAGTGTTGCTCTGGGGGAGAACGCTCCTCACGCCAGTCTCGCTGCCCCCCTCTCGCTCTCCTCCTCTGGCCTGGGCCCCGACTGGGACATGCAGTTTTCTCTCCAATTCCCTGTTTCACTTTGTTTTTTAAGTGACTTATTTTTGTTTCTTCCTCTCTGTCCCGGGACATCTCCTTGCTCCTTCACTCTGTCCCGGGACA